TGCCCCCAGCGCCGCCCATCCGCCGCCATCCGCCGCCCTCCTTCTTCAGCGCAACTGCCCCGCACAAACAAAGCAGGCCGCCCTTCCCCGCCCTTCCCTCTGCACCGACTCCGGCTCCCACTCCCCCGGCGCGGAAACTTGCACAGGCTCCCCCCTCTCCCCCCAGCAGCGCAGCAGAAGACAGCGCGCAGAAGTACTTCCGGCACCTTGAGATAAACAACCCTTCCTCGACCGCAGCCAGGGCATCATTGGCTGGCCTCAGGTCATGTGATGGTCACGTGGTGCCTCTTGGCGATCCCCATACTTTTCAACGTAGGTGCGTACGATGGAAGTAAAGTTAGTGTCACGTGTAGGAATAAGGAAGGCTTGCCTGAAAGAAGTTGATTTCCGCTCAATTCCTCCCCTCCACAACAATACCTATTACCGTTTGGGCCGATCTGCGCGATGTAATAGCTTTACCTGCTTTCTTTTATTATTACTTTCTTTTATTATTACTGGGATTGATGCAGTCCTATGTACCTTCACAGTTTGATAAATTTAATCATTCCACAATGAATGAATGTCATTTAGGATGTGACATATTATTGTACGAATGATGAATATGCTTTTCTCCATCCCTTTCTAAGTTTGCCTGCCTTAACGTTTTGCATCTCTTGATGGATCCCACCACCTACATCCAGCCACAAATTTCTCAGTCTTTCCTGTTTCCCCATTCCCTCTTCCTTCCTGGATTGGTTTTGTGATCCGATCCTCATTAATTCTGTCTATATGACCAAGCCATCTCATCATACTTCTTTTGTGGGCCATGTATTTTGTGTTCATTCACACACCTTCAATCCTGATCCTGACTCTTCCTGTTTTGTATACTCATCACTACATTCAGCCTGTTAAGTTTCCTGACATTCCCAGCTCTCACTTCCATACAAAAAACACATTCATTTCTCACAAGAAATAACTATGCTACCTTTGTATGACATTTGCAACTCTTGAAATATCTCCATTTTCTGCCAAGGTTCATATACTTCCTCTATTTTCCCACCATTTATATACAACATGCAGTTGTTTAGTGAATTTTCTCTCTCAAACACAGCTCTATTGGTCTTTTATATATTAATTTTCAGCTGTATAGTCCTTGCTACCTGTTTATTTCTGTAAATATTGGTGTTCTTAACCAACAACTGGGCTTCATCTGTGTACAAAAATATAATATATATATGTATATGTATATACACATATATATATATCCTAATTCCTAGCTAACAAACCTCTAACATTACAAACATTCTTTAAATATATATCCATTAATACATTAAACAACTAGGTGCTGCATATCTTTATTCTTAGACATACTCTAGTTCCATGTTATACTAGTCTTATTGCATTAGCAATCACCTTTCAACACCAAATATTCCATAATTCAAGCCTATTTACTTTTTCATATCCTTAATTAATAAATATACAATAACATTTCTTTCTTATATTCATGCATTTCCCAGTAACTTGCTGAAGAGCAAAAATCTGTTCTGCACGTAGCTTGCTCAACATAACTCTGCATTGCACTTCCCAAATTTTGCACATTGTCACTTTTGATCAGAATTCTGCACGTTGAACAAATTAATCCCCCTTTAATTCACTTTAGCTGACTTTTAATTGGTATAGGTGAACAGTAATGGGATTTTTCCAATAATTAGACAGAGATGCAGTATTCACATACACATTAAACAAGTCACACAATCACTACATAAGCAGACCAAATATTTTAATATTTCTTTATTTGCAACTTTACCAGGTTTGGATTTTGTTTTGTTTTGTTTTTCTACATTTCCACATGACAGTACTTTCTTGTAATTGTTTCTTCCCCCCCACACCATAATATTTATACACAGAACAGCTGGTTTCAGATACTTTGTATACAATCAACTATTTGGGGATTTTCCAGATACAAACCAAATCAGAGCTGTGATTGAAAGTTGTCTTTTGTTATTATCCTTTGAATTTATCCCATACAGCAGGCAGCACCTGTCATGTCCTTACTCCTTTTAGCAGGGTATGTGTGCCTGTGTGTGATCTGGTGAAATTTTGGAGTGAAGCATAAGACATTTAATGAGCATGCTCCGCAGACAAAGGCATTTGATATCTAACTGCTGTTGGACAAAGAATGAGCTATGGAAGAAATTGCCCTAGAAATTGGTGGACTCATTGGTGGACTGGTGCTGTTACAGTGGTGGTGATGGGTTATAAGTATCTGGTTGCCTGTGTCTCCTTGACGCAACCTCCACAGCCCTAAACCAGTTTTGTTTTATTTTGTTTTGTTTCAGCTTTGACTGAGTGGAATGAGTGGAGGTTTTAGTGAGATAGAAAAAGACAGAGGGATTCCTTCACCTTGCTTTTCAAATCAGCCACCTCCCAAATAATATTTCTCCCCCTCAAAAATAAACTCCCCTCCCCCCCCCATAAGTCCTGTTTCCTTATTTGGTAGAATTTATTATTCAGATCGATCTTGGCAGCCATCTAGTGGACATCCGCCTTTGTAGAGTCCAGTAGGCTCTGAATCCCTCTCTTTCCATGGCTGAAACGCAGAAAAATCAAATCATGTCAAGCGTTTGTTTTTGCCAAACCACAACCAACCTGAAATAGCTCAACAGAACTTCCAGGAGTAATGTTTTGAATCGAAAAACAAATCCATTTTTCGTTTCATGTACACCCCTAGTTTATAGCAGTCATTTCAGTTTCACTGATTGTTATATCACTATCATTCCCATACAGCTCTCTAAATTAGTCGTTCACCATTTCCTCATTTCTGTTTCATCCCAAATCATGTCATCACTTTTAATCTTAATTCCATTCACCTTGCTGGATGCTCCTTTTAACCTACTTCCAAAGCATGTTTTTATCTCCATCAAAATTGTTCTGCATTTTCTCTTCCTCTTTTAATCTCAGTTGTTCCTTGTTTCCCTTAATTACTTTTTTGCAACTGTTTATTATTAATAATAATAACAATAATAATAGTTTGAGAGATTGTTGGGAGGATGGGAAGATAACAAAAGGAAATTGGGCATGAACAATCAAAAGACAGAAGGGAGCCCATTGTTAGTTTATTTTATAAACAGCAATTCAGTCCAGATGGCAAGAAACCTGGGAATTGTTGGAAAGGTACTTTGGATATACAAAACCAAGGGCTACTTAGACTAGAGAGAATCCATATTTGAATGGAAGGGAACTTTTTTTGCCCAGGAAATACTTTTTTCTGGTGATCAATATAGATGTTGGGCTTAATGATCCATACACTGAATATTCAAGTCTAATGAAATGCGTACAGTCCATTTGAGTGTACAGGTCCATGGAAAGTGTAAGAGTATGCCACAAACCAGGAGAAGCTCAAAGTATAACTGATAGATGACAGGACATGAACTTCCATGACCAAGAGCTGCCCAAGAACAGCTAAACTCCTCCCTAATTTGACTTCTAAACTGTAACAATATTCCATTACAAGAATGATGAAATACAGCTGGTCAGAGTCTAATACTTTCAAGTTATAACATAGAAAATAAAAAGAGTTCTGCACATCTGTGTCTGTGTGTATGTACACATAGAGTATAAAAGGGTCTCTAATCTATACCTTGCGTTTTATTTGTTGCTTTTTGTCTGCTACTTCTCTCACTGTCTTTTCTATACTGGGATTCTATTCTGGAATCAATGAGACAACTTTTGCTATCTGATTACTAATTTATATAATCTGCCTGCTTACATTAGATCAGAAAATTGTGTTGCTCAGTTATGTGTATCTTTAGTTGTGCTGGAATTGAGAAATGTATTAAAGAGACAGCTATATTGAGCTGTGACTCAACAAACCTGTGTAATTGTTGGATTGTACACTGTTGCTTTCTGTGGTGATTGTGCCAAAGCACTTGTGAGGGAGGGAAAAGTGGTTTTCCCCTTCCAATATGAAGAAGCATTTCAATTTATTCAGACTCTTACTTAATGAAGTCCCATAAATGAGGGTTGGAAATTCTTGGTGTTTCCAAGATTCTCTGTCCCAAAATTAGCACTAAAGGTACCTAACTGAAATACAGGTAATTTTTGTTTCTTTGATCTTACCCAACTGTGTGAGGCTGGCATTTATAAACATATTACAAAATATATTTCTCTTATCCTCATTTTTTCCAGCAAAGATTCTTTTTATACATTTTTTCATATACAGTATGTTTCATAATTCCCCCAAACATTCTTTTTCATAATCCCCTACAATGTATCTCAGTATAATTCTGTGATTACTTGATTTTACTTCTGTGATTACTTGATAACTTTATTCTTTTCACTGTGTTCTGAAAACAGTAAGATGGTATGCTGCAAAGCAAAGTTCCAGCCTCCAGCATCATGTTTATTTCTAAGAACACCTCTGGGCCCCAAACAGATCCTGTAAGTAAATGATAGAAGAGACCACTTTTAAGAGACCTAGCTACACAGTATGAGTGGATGATATACATTTCCCAAAACTCCTTTTTTACAGATAAATAGTAAGGTTGTGCAAAGCTATAAAGTGATGCTTCACATCAGTAATGCTTCAAACAAAGGACTCCTTTGAAGTTGCTTCAAAAAATTATATACACTCTGCTTCAAAAGAGGAAAACAAACCTGCCACCTTGCCTTGCTTCACATTGCTTCTAGAGGCTTTTTTAGCATGTCCAGTGGCTGGCCTTTTGCTTGCTGGAGGTATGCTCGATAGTTTTGCAAAGAGAAATTGTATTATTGCTGTACCTTGACAAGGCAAAAAGCTTTGTCCCAGAGGCACAGCTGCTTTGACAGGCCTAATAAACTTGACAGGGAGTTCTGGTACATGTGTTATCACATAATAGTTTGTTTTCTATGCACTGTGAGACACTGTCATTGTTCTGATTCAGAAGTTTAGCTTATATCTGGTTCCATACAAGAGAACAGAATACACCCATTTCTATAAATATTCTCTGAAAAGAGTATCTTGACATTAAAA